CTAAAATACTTTAATGTGCATTTTGTCACGCCTGCACCGAAAGCTTAGTTGTCAATGACTGTTGAAGGACAGACACCTTTTTTCCGTCCAGTGGGTGGTAAAATGGAAATCTCAAAAAATGCTGGCCGTATTTTCTGCACAACCAGACACTGAAATCTATACCACGGTCCTTATAAAACATTAACTTTTGGTTACGTCATCACTCATCAAATATTTATGTTATAATCTATCCTGGCCTGAAGCGTAAACATTTTTCTTTCATGACATGTTTTTCGCAGAAGAGTCGGTGGTTGTTGTATAGATCTCTGAGGCGATCGATGAGGCCAGAGGCCTGCAGACAAACCATATTATGTGTGGCTCGTGTGGGAAGATAATTTCAGTCTAGTGCCGCACACGTCGCATTCGACTTACATAGCTTACTTCCTGCCCTTATGACACAACTTTCTGTTGTGCTAAAAATATGACGTGTATGTTTTTATATGAATACATTTTATTTCGTGTTTAAAGTCATTTATTTTCAATGGAAAATCAGATACCTATGACAAGCAAATACTATAATATTGAAACAAAGATTTTTAGTGGCTCTTACAAACCTTCTAACTTCAGTCTCAAAACTCTACCGACCCCTGTCCTACAGTATTGTGCGTTTGTATTTAAAATTCTGAATTTCGAAATTTGTATGTTTGCCACACATAATATTTTCAAGTAGACACTCCAATTTTTTTACACCACGAGTGAAGAGTAGGGGAGTTATGAAGAGTACCTAACAACACTGACAACATAAAATTTTTTTTATGTGTTCAAAACAACACTATGGCCTCTGCAGTTTACTAAGAATAATAAATTGAAAAATCCAAATTTGAATAGATACACTATTATTAAATAACACCGATGGGGTCGTGCTCGTTCGGCGAATCGCACTGTACACGTGGTTTTATACGCTTACGTTCTGCGAATTTTTTATGCCCACTGTTAATAAAATATTATATGCCAACAAAATAATAATAATTAAGCTCGTGAAATTGTGAGGAGGCCCAACAACAAATACCTACATGACTGCAGATAGTATTATATGCATTGATGTTGTAAGTGGTGATTCACCGCCTGTGCTCGTGTCCCCATTGCATCATCCTACAGTAGTGTTCGTTTATATTTTAAAAATTCTGAATAGTTTTAGAATGTTTAAGTCTGCCGTATGTTATAATATTTTCAAGTAGACACTCATTTTTTTTTTACGCCACGCGTGAGGGGCTTGTTACGAAGAGTATATCCCGTGACAATACAAACCCCTTTTTCTTTTTAAGCGGTTAAAATAATATTATGGCGCCTGTGTGTGTACTGGAAAAAACCAATCGAAAAATCAAAATTCGAACGGATGCACTATATTTTAGAACTACCGACGGGGTTTCGCTGCGCGTTCGGCGAACAGCTTTGTACACGTGACGTTTACGTGTGCGTCCTGTGTGTTTTTTATGCCCCCGTTTCCAGTGTATCATATTATGTACCTACACGAAAATAATAATTATTATTTGTGTTTGTACAGGACCCGCGGTTTAACCGGGAAATCGATCACATGACGGGCTACACGACCAATTTGATATTGTGCGTGCCGATCTGCAACTACGACAACGAAGTGATCGGAGTGGCTCAGATAATCAACAAGACCGACGGCAGCCACTCGTTCACCGAGCACGACGTCGAGGCAAGTATAATAATACCACGACATTAATACGTATTTAATACTATCATATTATAATCGAATACAAACGACGACGGCCAGTCGATACAATGGTACATTATAATATTAAATTAGGAATATTATTATTGTTGTCGCTGTTGCTGTTATCATTGTGTGGGTAATAATAATAATAATAAACAATATAGGTACCTACCTACTTCAAAACAATTTTGTCATTTCACGTCCTCGCGTTTTTATACGTATACTATTATTTACCAATAAACAGTTTAATTGTTTTAGAGATCATCACTTATTTCTCGAAACATTTTAATGTTTATGAAATATTTTTTTTTAGATAATGTGAACTCGTGACATAATTTCTATTTTTTTTAGCGTTACCTATCATTTTATAAGTTTTAGTTTTTTCAATGAAAGCATACATTATTGATTTCATGTTATTCCTACCAAAGCAAATAATTATCTTCCAGAGAATCTCGGTATCATATAAAAACAGAATTTCGAACGACTGGTCAGTAAGCTGCACGCTTATTAGTATATCTATTTAAAGTTTATACGAGTGCAGTGGAGAGGAAAAGGGTACACCGTAGAAGCCCTCTTATCCCTCCTAATTTCCGCCTATGGTAGTTACCTTTACATATTCTGGTTGTTTGAGTCCGTTCGATTTGATTGACAGTATGGCATGCTGTTATTTCATATGATATTATCATTATAATAATAATTATTATACATGACTGTTCGCGTGCCTGTTTTATACGTCCTGTAACCGTCACGACTGGTCTTTTCTTTAATTAAAAAACAATAAGAAAAAAAGTAATGACAATACCAACGTCTAAACTTGTACTGATTCTCTCGTTTGCGTGTGTAGATATTCCAGAGGTACCTGACGTTCTGCGCAATCGGAATACAAAATGCTCAACTGTTCGAAAAGTCTATACAGGAATTCCAGAGAAATCAAGTAAGCGATCACTATAATATGTTTTTTACAATATATGTAAAATAACGGGTGATGCATATCGCACAACACTCATTTGGGTACAGTCTACGGAATATTATGTATGACGAAGAAATATATAAACGTTTTGGGTTCTATATTTTATTGTAATATTTATACGAGTACGTCGAGCTTATATTCTTAACAGTTTTGACCACTGGTTCGATGCAATAAAAATTCACAGGCACATGAAACGATTTTTTCGTTTTTCCCACTCTGTGGCCCTGAATAATATGCACTCTACGATTATAAATTATGATATAATAAAATATTAAAGCGTCAATTATAAAGCAAAAAATATTTCCAAAATTGAAAATACTTGTCGAGAAAAAATGTGTAATCAGTTTCCATACAATAATGTAACTGCAGTGAGAAGAAATATTATTATGTTCATGTAGAATATTCTCTGCTCACAATACTCCACATAGTAACGTATGCTCATATCACTATTTAGTGTTTTTATTATACAAAAATTGTCTTAAGATAATGGAAAATGTATGACGTACTCACATTGTTCGTCAATATATTCTGAAAAAGTTGTTTGTTTATTGCATAAAAGTATTTTATCATGGATACAAAAATACATTTCTTACTAACAAAAAAAAATAAATAAATACAATTCGATATTTAGACTGAATCAATGTTATGTGGGTAAAAAATAAAAGTACTTAATATTCTCTGTTTTAAGTACCCTAATAATGAATATTCTACCAAAAGATTATTTCTTTCACATCGCTATAAATGCATACTATATAATAGTCACCGCTTTCGGTCTTATCACCCGCGGCGTTTGTCCTTTGAAAATGAAACAGTTTCTCGTCGAATTTTGTATTTTACATAATATTTTCCATTTCAATTTAAACCGAAATGAACGATTGGGTTTTTACTGAAAGTTTTCTTAGGTAATGATATTATAATTTACTACATTTTTTGTGAAATATAAATCTAGACAATTTAGTACCCGGGTCGCTGCATTGTTAAAGGATGTATTATAGTAAAATAAATTGTGCTAGACATTTTTAGATTATTGCTTTTTTATTCAAGAGAAAAATCGCGAACCTTAAATTCAAATTCAAATATTTTTCTATGTAATATGAAATGTACATTCATTTAATTTCTTTATATATACTGTGCTAGAATAAATATTTTTTTAATCTTTTAATATTTCATTTAAATTCATTTTTTCTTATACTTCTAAGTACTCAAAAACCCATTTTCTTATTATTTTTTAATTTCCATAAATTAAAAACATAATTTATAATAATTGAATTTTTATCTCTTTAAAAACCTACATTTAATAATGTCAAAAAAATATTAATAATTATTATTAGTTGAATACTTGGAGTTTGTACTATATCTGAATAAAAACGTACGTATTTTACACAGCAATCAATAATCTAAAATATATTATAATCACACGATTCCGATTAGTTATAAATAATAACCAATACAATAAATCAATGAGTTCTAATAATAACAATAAATTAACTTAGGTAAATATAATTATTGAGCTTGGCATATTATAAGACTTGAATTTAAAAAAATGTAATAAAAATCCATTCTAAGTCCGTATTTTATTAACCGTGTAAAATACGTGTTTCAAAATAAATAAATATTTATGCATAGTTTATAATTATAAATTATGATTTGTACATTGATTTTACATAAACTTACCATTTAATTTCTTAACGTCACTTTATAGGATATGTAAAGTTTTGTGAAGTATTTTAACTACCACAAACAAATCTCTTATAAATCTAACGATTTTGAAGTCATTTCAATAGTTTGGTGCTATAAACTTTAAGCTTTAGTGGTCGATGCCATTATTTTATGGGAATAATTTTACTAGTTATTTCATTAATAAAAACTAATTCCTTACGTTATAAGTTTTTTCATTTTAAATTGCGTTTTAATGTGCATTGATAATTACTTATCATCATTAAGGTACTTACACAATAAAAGTTCGATTATTAATTTGGTGGGAAAAAATAAGTTTTACAATGATATATTACAAAAAAATATATGTTTTACTAAAATATTTTGGTAATTATTGATAGGTACTTCTGTAGGTAGTTTATGCTTGACGCTATTTTAACGACTTGTAACGGATTCTTAAAATTTTTGTAGATGTTACTCAGTTTGGCTAGAAGCATATTCGAAGAACAGAACAATCTGGACTGTCTAGTATCGAAAATCATGACCCAGGCCAGAGATCTGATCAAATGCGAACGTTGCGTTGTCTTCCTGCTGGACTTGGAATGCGAAGAAGCTGTACGATTTTTTTTTTGGCAACGTTATTTTTCAATTCATATATATGTATATGTGTGTGTGCGCAGTTGTGTGTGTACAGTTTATTTCATTCCTTTATAGAGCCATTTGGATCACTTTGGAGCCAAGCCAGGGAATTATTCGCTGGAAAAAAAAGCGTCCACCAAAAACGTAATAAGACCACGAAAAAAAAAAAAAATAATAATAATAATAAATAAATGGATAAACAATATGGGGACCCGTACACATAATTCACTCTGAATACCGATTTAATATGTTTTTCTTGTATTTTATATAGAGCACAGACACGTTGGCCGAAGAGGTTGCTGTGGCTCAAGAACAGCAAAAGGTTAGTTATAATTATATTTACCACCCCACCGGAATAATATTATATTATAATCTAATATCTAAATTGCCGGTGTTGGTGTTGTCTTACTACACTTTCATTTGAAATAATAATAATATTGTCGATCGCCTTCCGCCTCGCCTCTACATCATCCTGTATAACATTGTTTTGACGATCGATCCTTTTTCAGGACATCAATTTCACCACGGCTTTTGAATTGGGTTCGGAACTCGGGGTGAAGAAAATCAATAAAAACGTCAAGCCGTCCAAACTGCTTCAGATAGCGCAAGAAGTGGCCAGCTCTACACAGGTAACACGCGTTATTCGGGTAAAACGACACTTCGTGTGTACCACACATACCTAGGTAATGATTGCGTATACCTAATGTACCGCTTTGGCACACACAGTTGTTGAACATAGCGGACGTGCAAGTGTGGGCCGCCTCGTTAAGCAGACAGCCGAGCATGGAGAGCGACGAGGGATGTACGGATCAAGTGCCCATCAAGTCCATACTGTGCATGCCGATATTGAACGGCAAAAAAGATGTGATCGGAGTGGCACAATTGATAAATAAGGTGCGTGCGATTTGTCCCGAAAATATTATAATGTTCAATAGCTCAGCGTTTTCAAGCTATTAACTATAGGTACAACTACTGTCTCCGTTGTTTTTAACTTTTGACAACACTTGCATGTTATTATACACCGTAGACTATTATATTATTATAATAGAGATAATCAAATTAAAAAGGTATTTATAATCTGTTCAAGCGTGGGCTTTCATTATATATTATAATTTAAACTAAGACCTAATCGAATACTTTTTAATCAGTTGATAAATCATTACAAAGCGCATTGTTATAAACGATTATTACTATAGATTTTATAATAATGTTCATCCTTATATTTCTTATTAAAATTAGGTAGTTACTAACTTGGAGTCTAAATATTTTAAAAATCACAATAATAAAACCACAGAGTTTTTTTTTTTTAGAAAATCGAATATTATAGGTACGTACAATTACATCAACTGCCTGTACAATATAAATTTGACGACATTACAAACCCAAAGTCGAAAATTTCAGAAATTAAATAATTTTAAAACGAAACCCAAACAAAGGTATACATTTTCTGAATTTTAAAATATAAAACTATAGTAACATTTTTTTATAGAACAACATATTACACTGCGTGTATTGGGTCTGTATTAAGTATATACCTATGGTGGGCAGGAATGTTATAGTTTTTATAATATATTATTTTCAAAATTGTAAACACAATATGGTGTGAATCACACAGATGGAGATTAATGACTTATGGAAACTCTACATTTTCTTGTTGCTTTTTAACGACAGCTTCTGCTGTTATACTGCGTCTTTATAATATTAGTGTAACGATATCGTGTGATTTGATTTCGTGTGTACAGGAAACCGGCTTTCCGTTTACCGACTGTGACGTGGCAACGTTCGAGGCATTTGCAATATTCTGCGGTCTGGGGATTCACAACACTCAGATGTACGAGAGCGCATGTGAGTATCGTCGACTTATTTCCGTGGGCCAGTGGCGTATACAAGAGGGTCGGTGTTTGAGGGGGGGGGATATGACAACCCTCCGTTTAGTAATTGTTATATTTAAATTATTTTCTTACTGTAAGTATACAAACATATCAATAGAATTACTGTTGTTTTTTTCCATACACATGATATGTAATTTTATGAATGTCCCGATTGGCCGATTGTGGTGTTTATTTCTTATTTTTTTTTTTTTCTACAACAAATATACCTATTTGAATTTAAATATAATATAAATATAATACTAATAACAACTTATTAAATGACAAGAATTTTAGTAACGCCTCCCTTAAACAAATCTCCTGGATACGCCACTGTCGCGGACCACGATAGGCCTTGACGGCTTTACTGTAACACTGTGTTCGTGTTTCAGGCAAACTAATGGCCAAACAGAAAGTGGCCCTCGAATGTCTGTCGTACCATGCGACCGCTTCCGTGGACGATACCATCAAATTAGCGCAAGACAAAATTCCTTCGGCCGAGACGTACAACTTGTATAGGTACACAGCACTTACCTATCTAGTTTGTTAATATTTTTTAACTCGTTCAATAGATTGGTTGGACAAAACACGCAGATAAAAACATCCGTTACCTACCATAATAATGTATATGCCATTGTTATAACATTTATTATTTACGCGAGTATACTATTTAGGTACCTATCTATATTCCTCTTCAGTATTGACGTTCGACATTTATTTTAGATTCTGAGCGGAGTGAAGAATGTATTGGTCTTAAAATGATGTGTTCTCTTGCAGTCGTATGTCTGACATCGCCCTTTAGAACAGAGGAATAGTTAAATTGGAATAGTGGAACTTTGAGGGTGGATTCTGGTAGAAAATTGGATCAAGTTGATACTTGTGTGGGGGAGGGCTGTCAAAGTCACAATTTACCCGTTGGCACTTTATTAAATTATCTGGAATAACAAAAAATAAAAAATTACGGAAAACCAGGAATATCTGTTTTTGACATAATTGATTTTGTTGTTTTATTATAATTCAAATGCTATAATAATTGTTGTATACCTGCTTGAAATTGTCATAAAATATTCGCAAAAGTATTTTCCAGACACGAGAAAATTAAAAAATACACTTTAGATCTTTTGAGATTTGAAAATTGAATTGTTCGATTTTTTTTAGTTATTACTTATTATTTGACTTGTGTATGATGATACAATATTTGTTTTGGGTAGAAAAGTTTGGAGATGTATTACAAAATTCTTCACAAACTTTTCTATAAAAGCAATTAAAAAAATATCGTAAATGCATTTGACATAATTTATTTTTTATTTTTTTATATTTCAAATGATACAATAACCGTTAGATACCTAGTTGAAATTGTCATAAAATATTTACAAAAGTGTTTTCTTGACACGAGAAAATTAAAAAATATACTTTGAACCTTTTGAGATTTGAAATGATCGATTTTTTTTTTAGTTATTACTTATTATTTGACTTATGCATGTTTCAATATTTGTTTTGTATTAAAAATGTTTGAAAATGTATTACAAGATTCTTCACAAACTTTTCATATAATAGCAATCAAAAAAATAAAAATTGAAAATGCATAAGGACCAAGACAAAATTGTTTTTATGAGCATATGAATTTCAAATTTAACGATAAGTATTCATCAAAAATCAAAACCAAGAAAATTCGCAAGACTATTTTGCAGTTAACGTGAGCTAAATTTTTAATTTGTGTACCCAAAGTTTGAACATTTAATATACAAGGTTACATGATACATTTTCCTTATAAGACTTTTAAAAAAAAGTACTGCGTAAAGCCACATTAATTTTTATGAGGGTTTGAATTTCAAATTATAAGCTGACAGATCATCTCCGCTCAGAATCGTTTTTCATCGTATACAATGAATTATCATTGAATTCAAATTACTAAATCGTGGAATCACTCAATGTAATTCAGAGTGGTTTCCACGGGTTTTTTTTATGGTGATCATTCATTTATAAACACGCGTGGACGACGTACATATAATATTATTACTAAAACTTTGTTCAATTAAATATCGATACCTACTCACAATTGATACTCTGGCAGTCATTCAAATTGAACAATATGTTAAATTTGTCGTGGTGATTAGAACTGCTTTAAAATTAATGTATTTAGATAAATATTCAATCACTAGGTACCTATATATGAACATATGAACATATTTAACAAACTAAAATAAATGCCTCTTATCGTTTTAAAATATACCTAATGCTGATGTTAAGAATACATTTTATGTAATTTTATTTATAGTCAACAATACACCAACATAACTTAAATCAAATTTCAATTCAATAATAATTAATTAATTTAAATTGCCTACTTAAGTATTAATGCCAATGTCGAGCAAAATATTTTATTATTTTTAACGGAAATTCTTGTGAACAAATTTAATTTATCTGAACTGTGTTTATAATAATTCATACTTCCTTGAACTGCTTAAAATAAACAATATTTTGTATAGTTGAAATGATAGGTACCTTTGTATAGGTAATACATTATATATTAAAGTACATAAATGGGTCAATTTTAAAACAGTTTTACATCATGCATTTTTGAAATGTTAAAAATACAAAACGAAATTATACGTTAAATCAACTATGTAGTAAGCTTGTATACTATTACTAATTACTTTAATTATTATTATGTAATGTAAATAAACACTTTGTAGTAATAACATGTAATAAGTGTTACAATAATTATTGTTCAATCTGAATATATTTTAATACCATGGTTGTAGTTAAATAAATACTTAAATTATATAACTACGTGGTATTTGTTCTATGTTATTTCAAATGTTTAATCCGATCGAAATACTGTTATTATTAATATTATATATTTTTTATTTCAGTTTTAAATTCATAGACTTTGATTTGTCAGACGACGATACTTGTAAAGCGACTATCCGTATGTTCCTGCAGTGCAATCTAGTGCAACAATTCCAAATTCCATATCACGTTCGTATAGAAAATGATAGTATGATATTAATCCGCCAGACAGAACACTTGCATCATTACGCTAATAATAATAGTATAATAACATAATATTTTGAGTATTATGCTTATAATATGATAACACAATATTATTAGAATTACACTAATTATATAATAAACATAATGTCATTGAATGATAATAATAGTCTGTCCGGTGAAACGATGAAATGAAAAAAAAATATTGTGTTCCAAAACCCTACTTGACTGATGATTTATATCGATCAAACTACCCAATTATTGAAGACACATTATTTTGTATTTCTGTATTATATTTACAGGTCCTCTGTAAATGGGTGTTGAGTGTGAGGAAAAATTATCGACCAGTAAAATATCATAACTGGAGACACGCGTTAAACGTGGCCCAGACCATGTTCGCCATGTTGAAAACCGGAAAGATGGAAAGGTTCATGAGCGACTTGGAAGTAAGCATTTACCGATGACGGTAAAAATGTAAAATATAATTGAATTTTCCCCGTCAACCGACACTGTAACGGAAAAACAAATCTAGTCGTTAATTAATGCATGATTATTGGTCTGGTACGACTTGTCTGCTGTACATTGCTGTATGACCAATAAAAGTAAATATAAAGTAGGTACAGTGCTCAAAAAGAGTAGGTATACCTATTTATCGTTACTCACAATTCGTCCGTATGATTTCAAATAATTACATATTTTAAGTTTTTAGATGTAGACTTTTAGAGTGATTATTAATAGGTACATCAAATCTAATAATTGACCAAATCAAATATTTAGTTTCTACCTCCTGATACTTATAATAGGCGTGTGCGATTTGCGCATCATCCCTCGTGCATCTCTTAGTCACGCGAACAACATCCCAAATAAATTGATTATGAAATTTATCCCACGCCAGCTCCAACGTCATATTTGCTGTAATTTACTCGGCCGACTGTTTAGCTTCCCTTTCTACGGGATTCGAGGTAGTTGGTCATGCTATAGGTTTATGTACATTGTAAAAACACGGTATTTTTAACATATCCCCAAAATAAGAAGTCACATGGCGTGGGGTCCAGTGACCAATGTGAGGCACCCTGGTGCAAAGCATCGAACTAATCAGTCAGGATTACAGTGTTTCGTAGGCGTGAAAATAGGCTAGTATAAGACTATAGAAAATACACATTAATTATTTTTCGTTGACAAAACATAATGTAATATTATAATGATTATGCCTGTGGTTGAATTAAATTATTAGATCTTGGGATTGCTGGTGGCGTGTTTGTGTCACGATCTCGATCACCGGGGCACGAACAATGCTTTCCAGACGAAGACCGAATCACCGTTAGCAATTCTTTATACGACCAGTACAATGGAACACCATCACTTCGATCAATGCGTAATGATCCTAAACAGCGACGGCAACAACATATTCCAAGCCTTGTCACCGGAAGATTACCGTTGCGTTATGAAGCTGGTGGAGAACTCGATTCTGTCGACAGACCTGGCCATGTATTTCAAAAAGAAAAACAGATTTATGGAGGTCGTTGAAAATGGCGAATTCGATTGGCAAAGCGAAGAGAAAAAAGCTCGTGAGTGGGGTTTTTAAGTACTGTCATAATTTTCATTGTCATATTATGTCATTATGCATAGGTTTTCAATATTTTTCGTATCCCTTAGGTACCCACTCTATTTACGGTACAGAACACAAATACCTATAATATTATAATTGTTTTTCAGTGTTGTGTGGCATTTTGATGACTGCTTGCGACGTGAGTGCTATAGCAAAGCCTTGGGAAGTTCAACATAAAATGGCTAAGCTCGTGGCCGACGAATTTTTCGACCAAGGCGATTTGGAGAAGTTACAACTTAACCAACAACCGATGGTAAATTTAACATTTGTATGGAACAAAGTATAAGATATTAATTTTAAATTTAACAATCTTGAATAGGCTATGATGGATAGAGAAAAAAAAGACGAACTCCCACAGATGCAAGTTGAGTTCATCGATGTCATATGTTTGCCGTTGTACAAAGTAATGCTATTGAATTTAACGAGTTTTAAATTATTTATTTAATATGATAAATTGTCAAATTGGTTTGTATAGGTGCTATGTGACACATTCCCGTGGATCACGCCATTGTACGAAGGCACTCTAGAAAATCGAAAACACTGGAAAGATTTAGCCGAAAAAGTCGAAATGGGCTTGACGTGGATTGACCACGACAAAATTGAAATTCCTGTCGAAGAATTTTTTAGTAAGTTATTTTAATTCTTCTGGAACAGTGTGTTTAACTGGCTTATATATTTGTAGCACACAAAAGCACGAAAGACATAGAGTTCACAGTAACCACGCTGAATACTACCCAAAATTGCACGAAGAAAAGCAATACAAAAGTTAGTAAGAAACATGGTAAACATACCTAATTAAGGTACCTATATTTTTTTTCCTCGAATTTCTGTTCATAATAATTATAAGGGAAATTTCGATACTCTATCAAAAGTATTGGTTAGGTATTGACTTAATACATTATACAATTGTAAATAAAAATTGAATATTTGTTAATATAATATATTATAATTGATCATAAATAATTTATATTTACAAATTACAAGTATAATATTGAACTTTTATTACAGTTTCTATTAAATTTGTGTAATTTAAATATAATAACCAAACTTAAGAAAAGTGTTAAAAATGGAATCGCTTTAAAGAAGATATATCTATGTTCAAAATATATTGCTAACGATTATAATGCATTTAATGAAATATATTATAGTTGATAAAAATGTAAATTTTGCTTCAGATTTTATATTGTTATAGATGTTTGAATATTATTTTTAAATTGATTTTAAATATATAAATAGGATATAAGAATTGTTGTTATTGTATATTCATAAATAAGAAAATAATATTTAAAATTAATGTTACATAATGTTTCTTAATGTCATGAATAATTATTATCTAATAATTTTTTCAACAAATGAAATTAATTATATTTATTTATATTTTGTTAAAAATTTTAATTCTATAGACATTTATTCAAGTAGCATGTGTTGGATTAGAATAATGTTTATTTAATAATTTACGTCACACACCTTGGAAGAATTTAATTACAACAATTGAAGAATTGTTCAAATCTGAATTAAATAAAAATCTGAACTATGACTATTCAAAAGGAAATTATGAAACCTACCGTGATGATCAGCATTGGTTTGTCTAAATATTTAATTTTAACTATGATTAAGCAGCAAAATATGCACTATTATTTTATTAGTTTCAGCACCATTCAATAAGTATCTATTTAAAATCAATTGTATGTAGTAAAGTATTTTAAAAGTAATTTTTAAAAAGTGTATCCCACAGCAAGAAAAAATATTTTCATTTGAATTTGAATTAAATTTATAACACTTAAATTATTCTCAACTATTAATTGTCATGTAAATATTACTCATATGATCTTTTTAAACATTAATATATGCTCTAGAAGTCTAAAATATGACTGTAATAAAAATTATTTAAAACCTTTTTCATATTTGAATTATTACTTTGTTTTTGTTTTTTTTTAATTAAGCCTTGAATGCTAGGTCATAGGCAACATGTTATACACCTTTTACATATTTTTACACATTTTTACACATTTTTACACACATTTTTATTTTCGTTGACACTGAAGTTTTTGTACTAATTTTTATTTTATTATAGTATGCATTTATATGGCTTATGCTTATACCGACATCAAAAAATTAATAAATAATAATATTATATCGAATACCATATTATTATAAACTGTTTTGTTTGTTGTTGTATAAACAAGTTCTATAAAGTACGATTGTCGTGATATTGTATTAACTATATTATAATGTAGGTTCTCATTGTAAAATCTACGCATAAAATATTATATAGTTTTATATTTACATAAGGAAATAAAATATAATTTCCAGTATATTCATTTAGAATTGAAACTTTAATTTAGTCACTACTTACTGTACTTTTTTAGAATATTATTATTTAACGATAACAATATTGTACACACTCTTGTTACTGACTTTCACATTTTCTGACCACGTATTATTTGTAAAATGTTATCAAAGTATTATTTTAAGACTGAATAATTAGACCGGCCACCTCACGTAACACATTATTTTGTACCCATGTACCTAAAATAATATCGATAATGCTCACACCTGTTGACTACCGGTTGTTGTTCGTTGCCGTATTCAAATGCATTATGTCTTATTGCGAGCTACACTTAACGAAACATTATAAAACTGCTTTTACCTAACAGACACAAACGTACCCCGATTTAAAAAATCCGTATATCGTATATTTTGTAGTGTCTACCTTACAGACGTAAATAATTTACGTTCAGTAGAAAAAATTTAATTTTGATAGTCTCCTTTTTTGACAAATATCGCTGCCTAAACATGTGATCGACAGGTGGTTTCGACTTGATTACAGTATTCTTTAAAAACGATAGTAATATTCGATTTTAAAATTAATTTTATGCATTAAAATGCTCATACCCCGACAAAGATAATATTTTATTTTACTATAATATAGACATTTTCATAACGAAATGAGCTGAACGTAAATTTAAAACTTTGCACGTTTGTAAGATGGAGAAAAAAACGGATTTTGAAGAAAGCCTATAATTCCATACATATTGAATTGATTAGATGACTCTTCAAATATTCACCATAAAAAGAGGATAACATCAAATGTGCAAGATTTGATGTTGGACGAAGAGGGACACCTGTTTGACCAACTAAAAAGTTTTCTAAAAATGCCTTAAATTTGACAGAATCGACTATATTTTATTGTTTCTGATCGTTTGATCATTTAAAATAAACATTTATCAATTATATTATTATAAGAATTATTATTTTATCTATTGTAAAATAGATTTAAAAATTATTCTTATCATAACTATTTTGAAACGTCTTTTAATTCATTCAATGTTTTTTAGTATATTATTATACTTACGTGTTATGTACTTTTATTACACAAAAATAATCATCATGTGTATTTTTAATTCAGGCTAAAAATACTCGCGGAGAAAAATATCTCAATCCTAGGCTTAGGGCTGCATTGTTCTTATTTTTTCGAAATCATATACTAATACAAAACAATATAATATTGTTATATTGTTACTACGTATTCGAATATCTATCATTTTTATGTTTTCTTAGTTTAAACAACTTTATTGCTGTCATTTACTACGAAGTAAGCAAAATATCAATAATAATACATAATATAAAACAAATGACAATAACGCACAGCCCTTCCGTCTCGTTATGGTGAACATTTGTTTCTTACCCATATACAACTGGTTATTTTCCACTTCTGAAACCGATTGTATTTAAATTTAAATTTATATTTTATATTATTATACTGTAACTTATAATAATAGTTACGCGGGGGACCGAGTCTTATATTATAATAAGTCACGTTTAATTAATTACATTTAAACACCTAGGTATATAATATATATCTAATTCGATTTAAAAATAAATAAATTTCATTGAAATTACTTTAATCGAACCGTTTGAATTGTATACGGGTCGTTGATATAACTACAATATAGAATAATCATCGGTAGATCAAACACAGAAGACCTCTAAGCACCTGAATACGCCTCTAACCGTGTTGAAAGTTGTTTCGTTTTAATACATTTTAAATATGTACCATATTTTTATGCTAAGTACCTATATTATCACTCGTACCTACATATACCAATATTCAGCCACCTGTTTACCGCACCGCCACCACTGTCACCGCTATACAGGATACACCAAGCATGCTCACCCATTTTTTTTTCAATAATCCAGTTATTCGAAATCTGATTTTTGAATTTTTAAATACACTTGATGACCATACTTTCAAATATTTAAGATTTTTCGTGTTACTTGAGGAGTTTCCTGTGAAGATACAAATTCCTATTTTTCAAATGAGAACCCTCTTCCGTTTTTAATTTGTAAGTTATTTAGACATATCAGAATAAAAATTCCGACAAGTAATTTTTGAGTTACCAATTTAACTTTGTGTACTAAGAATTATGGTTTATAAAATACTGTTTCAAAAATTTTAGTTATTAATATTGATCGATCATCATTTATACTTTTTTTAAAGTGTCCAAATACAATAAACACTAGATTCCATTATTGTCAATCTATTTTTGAGGATTTTCATCCCGATATTAGTATAAACATTTGAATAACTGAAAAACTACACTTTCAAGTTGTGTATTGGGTACATCAAAGGGTTCAAAAAAATTATCCATTGAATTATTTACAGTACAAATGGAAGGGGGGTTGATCTGGTTTGAAAAACAGAAGTTTGTATCGTCTCAGTGACACACACACTCCTTAAGTGTAGTACAACAAAATCTCGATACCTCGAAGACACACGGTCTTCAAGAACTCATATTTAAACTTTACAAAAAAATTGGTTCAAACGAATTCGTCGTGAAAATGAAAAAAAAAAAAAAAAGGCGGTGAGCACGCTTGGGGTGAATTCGCCCCATAGTGTATTATGCCCCATATGATAATATTGTAAAACGATATTATCATTGTGGCGCCGCGCGCAGCCGTTACTTCCAAACTCATCGAAACCGTTTTTTTTTTTTTTGTTGTTTTTGCTGTTGCCGCTCCGCCTGCAGAGCCTCGACCTGAATCTGGACACTTCCGCTGCCCTCCACCGGAACGGCGCCAAGTTCTCCAGCTTCCGGAAAAAACCCACGTCCAGCCGGTCGTTCCGGAACCGGGTCAGCCGGTCGCTGTACAACAGCACGGCCAGCAGCGGCGGGTCCGCATCCATGACTTCCGACTCGGCGAAGACGTCCGACGCCGCGGCCACCGCCGACCAGCACAACATGATCAGTTCCGCGTCGTTGCCCGTCTTCACGTCGCCGGCGTCCACGCCTGGCTACAGTAGCAGCGGCGGCAAGCAGCCCACCCACACGCCGTCGATGTCTGCCACCCCAGTGAAAAACAAGAGCAAATATTGCCGAATTCTGTGATAAATGTACTGTTTTTTTTTTTTTTTTTGTTCTCAAGTTGTGTTTTTCTTTTGATTTTTCCGTCTCCCGTCCTAAAATGTGTGTGTAGATTATACTGTGTAGTATGTGTAGGGACTCGCGTTGTGTAGGGATTATTACCCACTAACCAACTAACCGATTTCCGATTGTCCAAACCTAGGTAACGATATTCTATCCAGGAAGTGGAACCCCGAACCGCCGAAAGAAAACTTAATAAAACCTATATAGTATATATTATCTCCACGAGATCTTTGGAAAACTCGTTACTTTTGTTGTTTAAATATTTTAGAAACCGGAACCTATATTTTTATGATATAAAATAATTGATAGGTACCTACTTGAGGCATTCATTCCACGTTAATGGCTTTGTTTATTTCCCTGTGATTCGTGTATAGGAATGAATATTAAATTAAATTTGCAACTTTTCTAAATCGGTATAATAGGTTTAACTGAAAGAGAAATTCATAATTCAAAATAACTGACATTTAAGTTCTCCTAATAAACCATTCAGGTACATGAATTCTATATTCTGAAAAAAAAATCATACCCAATGTAACAAAAAAACAAGCATGATTGGTAAAAACCCCGAGCTGATCAAATCGTAAAATCGATATCCGATAAAACCGATAATGTTAAATTACAGGTACCTATAATAGTGGGCACCTATTAGTATTAATTTAATTATTATACAGTAAAACTTCGGTATCTCGAACTCCCGTATCTTTTTTTTTAGTCCGGTCAGACTTCGATATTCCGAGGTTTCACTGTATTTATCATCGTCATCGTTAAGTGATTGCGTGTTACGTACTTGGATTTTTTTCCATAAATGTTGGTGTATGTATCTGCGATCGGTCGAGCTTAGAGTTCAAATTCTATACATACCGATTTTGGAACTACAATTTTTTTCTAACGATTTCACATTCCATTTTCATGTTACGAGTCGATTATAAATACCTTCAAATGAATAAGTTGAGACGATATTCTGTTCGGCCAACAACTGATAATTAATGTTGACCGATTCGGAATCACATTAAACCGTCCTCATCAACACTTTCAAATATAGTATCGTACAGACAGTACAATTTAGTTCAACTCAACTGTCCACATTTTGAAGTGGATGGTTGTTGATCGGGTGTTCGGGTGGTATGAGTATTTATGTACTGCTACTAAATCTACTCAGAACATAATCAAAACAAGATGTATTATATCGTGTAGTAATTCCTACCTATATTATGAGTACTTAGATATTATAATAGCACATGATCGACTCGTATACCCGTAATAATTATGATAATATAAACCGATGTTTTGTCAAACACACAATATTACAATAAGATTTCAATATTATTGTTCGTAAAGAGTTATATTATTAACGTTTTTCGCAAGCCCTCGTACCCACCCTCCCACTATTTCTCACGCCATACGCAACGCCATACGCAACGCCATCCCCTCCGACGTTGTTAACTTATTTCCCTCCTAAAATGTATTATTATTATTATTATTATTATTATTATTGTTACACGGACCTTCGTTTTCGTTGTCGTCTACAAAATATGGACTGTTTTATATAAGAGTATATAGTTATATAGTTTAAAAGTATTCTAAATTATTATGGTAATTTATTATTAAAAATATGTCGGAAATGTTTAGGTCAAAATATTATAAACGATAATAAATTGTTTGAAGAAATTGTGTTTTTACCCGGTCAATCAACGATAACTAATATAATATTTTATTGTTCAAAATTCCAATCGATTTTTGTTATTCCGACTGAAACGAATGAAAGTAATTGCTCGAACGAAACTATATTGCATTTAGAAGGAAAATTAGTTTGAATGGGCTATCGAATCAAAATAGTAACGATGTTAACATCGTGTTATGTTTAATAATTTTATCTGTTAAATCCTGTCACAATCTCAATATATTAGAGCCTAGAACAGCGAAAAAATAATGATACTCATGGTTTAAATTTGTGTTTTTATCTCTTTTATTGTTTACATTTTTTTTTTAACCAAGATAATAATATGTAATATTTTCAGTCACAGAATTTGAAAATAAATGTTTTAATAATAAGGCAACCCAACAATTTCCATGCAAACGTTTACAAAGTAATTAAATAATAAAACTATTTCTTAGAAAATATCAAAAACAAAATATTTTACTCAGTGGTACATATAAAAATTGTTTACCAAAATAATATTTCAATTCTTGATTCTATTCTATTATAATATTATATTCACTAATAATAATTACCTCAAATCTATTTTGTAAATAATTTTCTTTTGATTGTTAATTTTTTTTAAATTTTTAATAAATAATAATATAAGAAAAAACAATATAGTACATTATATTATATTATATTTCCGTTCAAGAAAAATAATTTATTGTAAAGAGAAACACACGAGTACCATAATATATTAATCGTTCGTAAATCTTCGCAATATCGTTCGTCGAATCGTGACCCAGTTTTATGCATATGGTTAGGGTAAATTATATTATATTAAATCAAATGTTTTCCATCTAAATGGATATTTTTAGTAAAAAAAAAATTAGATATGTATACAAATTGTTTTACATCAATTGGGCATTATCTATTTAATTTATGTTATATCGTATAACAAATATTATCCATCACAATTGTAATATGTTATCGTTTGGAAAATGTTCATTGTCAATCATTGTTGGAGTCAACGATAATTCCATTAATTTCGAGACGTAGTATCCCAAAATCATAATAGTTATAATCACAATATGTCTAAATTTTACTTAATTGCAATAATCTAGTAATTTATTGTTATAATGTTAGGCTCTAAATTAAGTATAATATAATATTTTAAAAAATAATAAAACAAATAATAAGTTTAATAATGTGATATTAATTAGTTTCTACTATGTAGTCATAGAATTTTAATACTTCCTTGTTGTATTGTACATATATTATTTATTAATGTCTTATTATTGAATAAATTGTTATTATTTATTACTACTTTGAAAAATTATTTTCACCACACTAAAGTTTAGGTGGTATATCAAAATTATTTTCTTCTCACTCTCAAAAACAGTGTTCTATATACATACATAAATGAACTACCGAAAGTATTGGATCAATCGGACAAAGTTAACCCATGTCTTTTTTAACTTAATGATTTAATTTAAAAACATGTCTGTGCTTGTTTCGTAGACCGTTGGCTAAATTTAAATTTGTTGAAGAAAGTAATTTGAATAAAATTAAATTCAAAACTACTTTTGTTTTTGACAAAACAATTTTTTTAATATATCAAAATGGTTGGGAGTTATAATGAAAATACTGAAGTAAGTACCGAGTACTACTTATATAATATATGCGTAAACCAATAGAATATCGCTGATATAGATTTTATATTAAAACATTTTACATGAAAATAAAATGAGCAAAATTAAAAAACAAAGGCCGCTCCATATTATAACTGATCAGTAACCAATTTAATGACATTTTACAGTTCAATGATTGTGAATTATACAGTGTGATTTTTTTTTTGGCGCAATTGAACTTATCATTTTTTTTTTTTTTTATAACCTATTATTATTTTAAACAGCAATCTATATTGGAATTAAAAATTGTTTTTAACCTAAAAGAGTTAAAGAACCGGGGTCGAGTAAATCTTTCTCATGGAGGGTTAGATACATGAATTGTGTGAACATTTAAAATAATAGCATGTAACGAGATGCATGAATGATATAGGTAAGCAGTTTTTTAGTTTATTTCTGTACAACCTATACAAATTGCACCGTGCTGTTGATGTTCCAAAAAAGTTGTAGTTCTCCAACGATAATACAACGATAAGAAATTCTAGAGACCAAAAAAATGTTCCACGATTTCGAGTTAACCCAGTGATAGCGAGTTTTATGAGTAATAATACGATAAATTCATTTTAAATTTCAAAATAAACATTTAAAAACATTTTTTAGTTACGAGAAATAAATTAAACATAAAATGAAAATCCCTTCAAGATGAAAATTATATCTACGCGGTACGTCACTGCCCACTGGTAAGTGGTAATTTATATAGCGGACTTAAACATTGCTCATTCGCCGAACGCGTAATAGGATTTTGATTTCACTCACTGTCCACTGTCCAACTGATACGATATCATTCTCAAGCGAGCTTACACACGTGATGACGGATGAAGAAAAGAACGTAAAACACCAGTGTAAGACCATTAAATCCATTGCTTCGTTCAGGATCTAAAAAATGCTGATTTCAATACAGTCGCTATCATGATAATATTGTTCAAGATTATCTCATTCGATACCAGTGTTATGGGATATGAAGTAAAAAGACGAAATTATTCGACTTTTTTGACATACTTAGTATTAAACTTAAGGCCCTTTTCACCTGGACTGACTCGTATCATATGCTCACGCGTTTTTACTTGCATTGGTTAAATGCAAAATATTGAATTGGTTTATTCCTACGTGCAGCTCCGACGATGGCACTTTTCCTTTCGTCGATATTGCCCGTACGAACTTAATCTAATAACAACCGACTTCTTTTTTTAATTATTGCTAATGTAAATGTTTCTATAGTACCTATATTTTTTTTTTTTTTTTTTTTTGATCTTAAGCTTCGGCAACTGAGGCCATTAGCTGTAGTAGGATTTGTATTGTAGGTTTGTTTGTATTGTATATTTTGGGACGGTAGGGGGGAACACGTGTGTGTTTGTTTTTGGCAGAATTTCGAATGGGGCACCCGTAGGTTTCTGCCATGCCCCGGGGGTGGGGGATGGCAGCACTTGTTCTCCGGTCACCGCGACTTGTCCGGAGAAAAATGCCGCCCGGTAGCCGAGGATCGAACCGCGACCGGCTGCGTCGCAGCGGACGCGTCAGACCACTCGGTCACCTCATCCCC